GCGACGGGGCGGCCGCCCCCAGCCGAGGCCGTGCAGGATGCTCGGCGCTGCCTCGCTGCCCGCGGAGCCGCCCGTCAGCATCTCACCACCCGTTGCCCCCACACGCACAGGGCCTCCCGCTGCCCCGGATGGCTCCGTCGCCTGCCGGGAGCGCGCCAGGAATGTTCTGGGGTTAGGGTTTTGTTAACCATGTTCTCCTGACTTAAAAGATGCGTCTCACTTCGCAGACATAATTTAATAACATTTCTGATTTTTATGAAGTTTGCTTCTTTTTTTTTAAATACAATATTCTCAAAGAATAATGAAGTTACAATATAAAATCACAGCAAAAAAAGAAGTGTGTAAGTACAACTTTTCTATTAGAAAAGGCAGTGTCTGGGGAAGGGCTGGGAAGCGGTTATTTTTTTACTTTTTTAAAATGGGTATAAACTTAAAGACATTCACCATATTTACTAAAATATTTACATATTTTAGGGTTCAGCTAAAACCATATCAGGGTATTGCACCATAGCAAAAAAAGAGAAAGGGGGAGATTACCCTAAACTATTTTTCTGAGGGCACAGTTTTTTTCAATGTACGCATGCACAACGTCCTAATTTCTTGCCATCCTTGCATATGTTCATAAATAAAATTATTGAAACACTTGTTTCTAAACAAATTGAAGATGATTTTGTGCAAAAAAGGAAAAAACACTGAAAAAAGCAAACCTAAAAAAGCCCCTTCATGAACAGAGAATTCTGTTTGTTCCTGCCTTTAGACTATGCCCTCGGATACACTGTGTCTTAATATACTTACTTATACTACTGTACTGTTTAATATACAACATCAACATATTCTGCTATAGCATAAATAAGAGAACTCCAGACCCAGGAAACAAACCCACTGCGATCGACACTGCACCATCATGTCATATGAACCATTTTAGATATATACACACATACATATGTATACAAAATGTTAACGATACAAAAAACCACAGGCAGGGCATTGTCATGTCGACGAGAAAAGCGACACAGAAACTCATACACGTGCGTGTGTGCACAGAGATGTGGCGAAGGCAGTGAACCTACCCGGCAATCGGAAATCACGTTTAGAAGCCAAGTTCAAGGCAGTCTCAAACTCCACTGGAGCTATGCTTGCTTGCACAGTTAATGAACGTGGCTTTCTTCATGTTGGATTTTAGTAAAAGCAGAGGAACAAACCCACCTGCGTAAGCTTCTGTCCCCTCCCCTCCCCTTTATAGCTTGGGGCGTCTTAAAATGAAGGGTTAAAAAAAAAATATGGCAAGGGTTATATAGTGGCCTAAATTGAAGAGCAGTAGGAAAGAGGTGTCCGAGCAATAAAAGCAGAGTGTTTCTGTACAGCCAACATCTGACTTCACACAGGGCATTGCAGCAGTGCTGGGAAATTACTTTGTCCCTTCGTGGTTGGTATCAGTCGGAAGTGGAGAGGGCTAAGAACAGCTGGATGTACCCCTCCCAGCTGTGACAACATGAACCTGTTTCAACTTTATTAAAAAAAACATTAAAGGAAACTCATCACCGTAAGCTCCCCCCTCGAAGGTCCTCTTCAGGTCGTTCCTATATGAAATATTTGGAAAATATACCTGCCCGCTACAGCCTGCCTTGAAGCTGTAGCAGGCACCGATGGCAAAACCATAGCTGGGGCGTGAAAGTGGCCGGCGATTCCTTGTGCCCAGCCCTGCACGGCGTCTCGGGCTGAAGGCACCAAGCAACAGCTTCTCTTAAGGCAACCGAGTTGTAATGTGGGAGTAGAGGGGCTCGCCCTTGGGCCCGTCGTTTACACTACTCATCTTGGAGGGGGCCATTGGCCATCCTGTATGGACTAGCCTACCTGACGTGTACTAGTAATTTGTTTTTGCTGCTGTGGGTGTGTGCATCAGTCTGTGGGCGTTCATACAGAGCATTCACACCTGGTGACAAAACTCCTAGGGAGGCAGGCATGTCGGCACTGCCGGTGTAAACACCCCTCTGTGCCCACGTGTCTTATGAAGCAAGTGTGTCACGGTTGGCATGAAAGGCTAAGACATGAGGTTGTAAAAGCTTGTATTCGTAATTCGTCGTTTCATCAGTACCGTTCCTCTAACTTCACTGTTGTTGCTCCTGACTTACACCTGCAAAAGCGAAAGCAGAAGAAGGAACTCTGCATGCCTGCAGCAGTATGTATGTATAGGAAATGTATCTCAAATATAGCTACGCATATCAGGCCAGCTTGGCCTAGGTACAAGCGTTCATGGTTCCATCAAATCTCTTTTATAATAAATACATGTGCTTGCATGCATTTGTGGATAGAGAACAGATTACTGTACGACAAGGCTGCTGGTCTTGTTGGTTATATAATTGTGTTTATTGCAGAATATCCATTTATTATGCAGAGCTGAAGTATTTACACATTAAGTTAATAAGACGGGTTATTTTTATGACTGTTGCCCAGGAAGTATTGCAGCACCAATTACAGGTTTTTAGGCGGCTGCAAAAATTTCTTTTTTGCCCAAGCTTCAAGTACGAGGGTGTTCAGGGAGAGGAATGAACTATTTGGAAGAGGAAGTTAAGTTGAAGCTTTAAAAGAAGTATTTCTTTTATATCAGCTGTGTTTGGGGTTAAAATCTATTTGTCGTGGAAGTTTTTATTCTAACTGAAGTCACAGTATCTGCAGCAGAACCCACCATGGAGAAAGCTCTTGGTGGGCTATACCGCACTCTGCAAAGTGCTGCAGTCTCTGGCCTCCATTCAGTGAAACACTACTTTTTTAACCTTAAGATTCCTTCCACTGAAGTAAAAGCAACTTAAAGCACATGGTGAAATGATTAGTTGAATAGGAAGCCAGGGTTCTCAGCACCTTTGCAGGGCTTGGTCCCTCATGAAACAGCAAGTGCTAGGAAAAAAAAAGGAGAAGGCTACAATTTTGACTGGCTGGTTTAATTCATCTCAGTGTTTTAAAAATAACTAAGTAAGTAAGTGCAACACTTATAAGTAGAGTCGCAATAGGCCGTCCTACAATAGGACGTCTTCTGTGTAAGCAAAATGGGATTTTTTTTCATATGTAAGCAAGAGACATTTGAATGTTTTCCAGGCAATTTAAAAAGATGAAAAATGTGCATAAGGAAACTTTCCCCACACTTACTTCTAGCTAGTACTTTTCTCAACTGGACATCATACTTTCGTAAATAACTAAAACTTAAAAAAGAAACAAAAATTAAATACATTGTAACTTGTTTATGCAGCGAGAGGGAGGGGTTGCTTAATGAAAAGTGGGGCTTTATTGAATAGGGAGAGAAAACATTTATTCAAAGAAGAGCCAAGAATACCCTTTTGCTATACATTAAATGCAGTTCATACTTCACAGAGTATGTTACAAGGGTGTTCCTTCTATCTGTCACATACCTGCTCACCTGCCTAGTGACGCGGACAAGGCATGCCGTGATGTCAGCACCAGCAGCACCCTTGCAGGTGGAAACATTCTGCTTTTTACCGCCCAAGCAACTCAGAACCCTCTGGCTGGGGGGTCCCGTCCCACCCCATCTGTCCGTGAAGTCATCTGAGATGGGCCCCTCCATCTTTAGTTGAGTTTAATCTTCCCAAAAGGGTCAGATAATACCAGGAAGTCAAAAAACATACATCTGGCGTAAGAAAGAGCCCTGCGCTCAGAGTGTTAAGAGAGAAAGCTTGGCCACTCCTGCCGGTTGCGTCCTCGTCGTGCATCCTGCGCATGGGTAACAGTTTTGGCAAGGGAGGTTTGCAAGAAGCATCGGTTAAGGGAAGGGCTTTCAGCTATGTGACTACAAAAGCTCCTACTTACATTATTAAAGGTTTTTGGTGATCAAACATTTTCAGTAAAAACTTTAGTACTCATTTTAGAAAACTGAGTTGCAATGCATGCTACCAAAAGGAAAAATCTTTTCTTGTGGGAGAAGACAGCTGAACTGTTGATTCTCTTGTACTTTTACTGTCCAGCTGACTTGCGCTTTGTTGCTGTTGCGGCTCATGCAGCTCCAGTAGCACAGCTGTTGAGGCTAGATCTGTGCCGGAGGAGTTTTAACTCATGTGGAAACGGTGCTCCCCTCGAGTTATGTGGGAAGAGAATTCGTACCTGTCCTGGCTGTGGTAGCCACACATGTTGCATTCAAAAGGATCACGGAATCCGTGGCAGCCCATATGGATCGTATACATCACGTGATCCAGGAAGAGGACTCGACAGTGTTCACACTTGTAAACTTTCACTTGCTCCCCATTGCTGCTGATCACTTTGAAAGCATCCTGAGAATTGTCAGTACCTGCCCTCAAGACATCATATTGCCTGTTTTCTTCTTTTATAGAGATGCCATTTCTTGCGTGGGGACCTATGTGGTTTGTCAGGTAAATTAAACCACTGCGTTCCTCGTTATTGCTCTCTGTATCTGTTGAGTCTTGGCAGCTGTTGCTGGGAGAGGCATCTCGTTCAGAGGAGACAGATTTGGCTTTGGAAAGCAGCAACAAGTTTTCCACGGCGCTGTCCTGAGCTGTATGGTTGGAGCGAGCCTGATTGTCCCCCAGAGGTTTGTGGAGCTGATACATGGGGCTGATGACAGGCACCACCTCAGAACCACCTGGCGGTGTCTGGACAAGGGGACGCAAGGACTCTGCCCCCAGGTAACTGATGGCGTTGTTAATGGCCTGGTCTATAACGTGCGTCTGCATGATCTCGTTCTCCTTCTCATAGTTGGTGGTGGCATCGTATGGAAGATCGGGCAGACATTTCTCACCTGCAGTGAAAAACAGTCAGGAGTTAGAGGGCTGATTCCTACATGATTAAGGAACTGATCATCATGGATTAATAAAACAGCAACATGGAAGAAAAGAGTTGATCAAATCCACCCCTGAAATTCAGCCTGAGGTACTCATAATTCTCTAATATAGCTGGTCAGAAACATGGTTGGTTGGTGGGGGTTTTTTTAACCTGCAAAATAATTTGAGGCTTTTGGAAAAGCAAATGGTTGAAAACAGATTCTGGAAATAATTATAATGGGACTCGTGGGAGCTACAGATGGAGTGCTTCATCCTCTCTCCTTTCTAACAGAATTCCCTCATCTGCTTCCTACAGTGAGCTGAGGCATGCCTTTGTGGTTAGTGAAGACAGTGTACCAGCACACTTACGGTGAGACTGGCCTTCATGCTTCAGGGCATGGAGCACATTATCAATATTTTTCCCTAAAATATTACAATGTTAGACTGGAAAATTTTATGTTTTAGTTTTACACCTTCAGTTTCTTACAAATAACCCACGTCAGCAATGTGGTCAAATGTCATTTCGGAGAAAAATCAACAAAGACTTAACTTTTCATATTGCCACCTCCCCCCAACACTTTATTTTTAAATAAGCCATGTTAGACACATTACCAGAAGATACTCATGATCCTAGAAATTTTGCGTCAAAAAGTTATCATCTACAGGAACAGCCAAGAAAAACAGCCATGGAAAAAATTTAATTGCATTTGTAGTTGGAATGTGTTTTCCCTATGAGGTAAAAAGCCCTATATAGGGCAATATTACTTGTTACTTGTAACTTCGACTCTGATTTGGGATGCCAAAAGTAAGGGGGGGCACTCCTAATTTTTTAAAAATCAGACTGCACTAATGTATTTCTAGCTGGATACCCTAGTATTGAACGCTGAGTTTCACTACAATTTCTCAAAATTCCTGGACAGATAGGACTAAGCAAAACACAGAAAGTAAAAGTTAGGAGTGGGAGAAACTATTTAAACACACAGATGCAATTTTATGAATCTGAACAGTCTTCTCAAACAGTGTAAACCTTCAAAGTTGTTATCAGGCCCCTAATAAATTTGTGCAAATGCAAAGGGGTAAAAAAATTCCCACAGGTTCCTAGGGACTACCAATAACACATTGTTTACAGTCCAGATGGATTTTCTAGCTCTGCAGATCTTGGGAAATTCATTGAAAGCCACAAACACCTCTGTAAGGTGCTGTCACCATTTCCTAATCAACATGACATTTGCTGGCAGGCCTTGGAGAGTCCTGACTTATCTGAAAGAAATGCTACTAGGAGCATGGAAAATTTAACCAGATCTGCAAATGAATTTATGAACAATTTCCCACCCAGTTCCTACTCAAATTGACTATTCAAAGTCAGTGAAGAGCCCAGAAAACTTCTAGCGTGACACTATTGCAATGATGGGGCTAAAGTGTAGAAAGTCCTGCTGTCTACATTTCCGACAAGATACGGTTTCATGCTAGTTTGTCCAGGCTCTGCAAGCAGAGAAAGAAATACTGAGCATTGCGAAAGTTCCTATAGGGGATGTAGGGTACAGACACCTTCTAGCTGCACTGCACAAGCTTCTACTTCCTTCTTGTTTCCTTTCCCTATTATTCTGCCAGTTTGAGCACCCCTCTACTGGGGTGCATTCTTTTTTCTTTAGATTTACCCTTTCTAATACTATAATTTTCAGGCAGAGTTTGAGGCTTAAGCTTCAAAATAGGCATTGTGAAATACTCTTGAATTACATATAGAAAAACTCTCCTAATATGAATGTATACTCTTGACTCAAGGAGGAAAAAATGGGGTTGAAATCGTCTATATTCCATGGGCTTTGTATACCACTGAAACGTGGGACTGATCTTCGTTATACAAAAAATTTTGGGCATCCAGAAGGCATGATTTCAACAGCTGTTTCTTGGGTAGGATTTGCTTTATGTAGCATAACTAGTTGGTAGTTGGATTGAGAGGATCAAGTGCTCATAAGAAAAATTAATTTCCAAGCAGAGTGTCTGAAACAGACACAAACTTGAGTAAGGCAGGTATCATTTCTATATCTGGGCAATGCAGGTAATACTTGCACTCATTAAAAATAAAAGTTCATTTCATTGGAGCATAAGTAAATTAAACTGCTAATGGTTTGATGCACTCCAACCTTTGCACTGCTCAGAGTTCCGCAGCCGGTACCTAAATAGTAAAAATTCACTCAGTGTATGTGGGCTCTTTTTACTTTTCTTGTTTGTTTATTTTTAGCCCCTCTCTTTTCATTGCTGCCTATTGTTTTAACATGATAAACATGTGTCAACCTCACCTGCAGTTCTCACTTTCTAGTTTGGATGGCCCAGTTCTGCTTTTGGGTCTGGGAGCTATTCCAGTTTGGAATACAGAGAGTATTTTACAGATAACTGGCTTAATTTGGTGAACAATCTCACTTTTGAAAGGTAATGAATTTAGCCCTGAGAAAAACGAGTGAGGCAGCAGACATTCCTTCCCTCATGCGAAGGATGCCATTTGCTCCTTCTCCCTGAAATTCAGCATGGGGATTGGGATGACACGGTAATCTACAGGAGCAATAAACATGTTTTATTACCCAAAAGCTCTCCTGACCAGCTGGCCCAACGTTGTCTTAATCAGGAATGTACCTATTACATGAAGCAGCAGGTGAGTATTGGAAAGGAAAGGATTTGGGAGCATTTTCTTGTCAGAAAAGTTTGTCCTTTTGAAGGTTAGCAAATTTCCATAAATATCTGCTGTCAGTAGGTTGTCTTCCTACACCGCACCCTGAATAACTAACTGACAGGAAACTCTGCCCTCCTAAAACTCGTGGTTAAACTGGCTGTCTTTACTGTTTCTCAGGGTGAGGAGAGAAAAGGAGAATGAAAAAGGCAGTCTACGCCCATGGACACATTGCCTATAGGATACTTGCTAGTGCCTTCTAAATTTTAATGCTTCTGGTCTTCCTGGAGCTTTCATAGAGTTAGTATTTTGCCTACTGCAGTCAGTTATTAGAGTGTCTAAATGAATCAAGTTTGCCTGATAGTCCATGTATTTTTGGTAATTACCTCTACTAAAACTTTTGTCCTTTTATAAGCATAAGCTTTTCTTATCCTTGACTACCTCCTTGAATTGTTGCCTTTGGACTTGAAAACAATCTCGGACTTTCATTTCAAACCTTTTGTTGCACCTCTTGACTTAGCTGAGATTTGTCTTTGTTTCAGAAATACTAATTTCCCTTTCACCCTTGTGTCTTCATTGAAGAAGGTATATTTGGAATTTCTGTCCCATAATCTTTTTTGCCTTGACTTGACTGAATAACTTCTTAATGTGTGTTTTCTTTCAAAGACTTGAGTTTTCTCTGATTGTGTCTTATAGAATAATATTATAAATGAATGTGCAGAGAATTATAAAAGAATCTAACTAGGCATGAGTATATGCTGTCCTCTGATCTCCCAGGTTTTTATTCATTTAAGACTAATTCTACATAGCTGACAAAATACTGTCTGAGGGTCTCACTATTACAAAACTGATGTAACCACTACTTGGTACAGGCTTACCAAACACAACAATATAGGTGTAGCCTCCATTTTTATAGGTGTAGCCTTCATTTTTTCATTGTTAGGACAAAAACTACTAGGTGCAAATGGGCATGAAGTTTTTGCATCATTTATACAATGCACCCAAAGATCTTTTCATTTAGGTATTATGTGCAGACCTAGGTTTATTGATCATTTTGGGCTGTAAAAATATACAGACTTTATGAGGGGGTGAAGAATATTAGCCAGCCTATGCTCAACTATTCACAAACGCTTTGACAAACACTAATATGCACAGATCTGGTTGTCATCCAAGAAGTTACTAAAATAACCCTGAAACTATGGTCAAATGCTTTCCCAATAGGAAACTTCTATTCCTATCTTAAGGTTCTTAAGGCAACTTCAAGCGCTTGTCCTGATCTTGTAACAATCTGGTTCATAAGCATTAGAAAAATACAGAAAAAAGACTTAAAATCAATCTCCAGGTGTGGAAAATTAAACATGCAGAAATGTATGCTGGAGAAGTTCAGTTGTTTGGTTTTTTTTCCCCAACACATCACTGTATCTGCTTCTATAGAAATAGATATTGCTAATTTAGTAAAACAAGTAAAATCATAAAGCAAAAGTAAAAAATCCTGTGAGATGTTTTTTGGGTTTTGTTTTATTTTATTTTTTAGGAGACAGCAAACGTTTAACTCTTACCAACAAATTTCTGAGGCATAGAGCTCTTACGTTTGGCGACGTTACTTGCTAGTCTATCCAGCACGAGGGATCTTTCTGACCCTATCTTGCACAGGTCTTCAGCCATTTCACTCTGGTTAGTTTCCTCTTTTATGACTGAAATCAAATGACATCAGAAGGGTTAGGCACGCTTGTTCCATTTTAATGGAACTATTGTTTTCAGGTTATTGTTTCTCAGCTAATGTCTTTTAGCACCCAACCAGCTGGAAGGAGGAGCAGGCAGAGGCTGATTCTGACTCTTGGTAGCAAAGTCCCTCACGCTGATTAATCTATGCACATGCTCACGTTTCCCTCGTTCGGGATACAAAAATGAGGTTGCAACTGCAAGGCGGCTGCCTGCATGTAACGTCATCACTCCACCCTTGCTCTACAGCCACTCTGCATTTCCGTGAATAACCGAGGTCCTGGCATTATACTGGGCACAAAGCAGTTCACCTCTTCGCCCTCCCGCTGTCACCCCGCACCGTCCCTCTGCACCTCTCCCGGTGGAACCGCTGGTATGATCATTGCTGCTCTAGCAGGAAAAACGGACAAACTTCTAAACTCCAGCAGTGGAGGATGTATTTGCAAGATACACCAGCCCTTCTCCCCATGCCCTTTTTTTTTCCCCTGGTAAATACTTCTGGACTTCCTTGATGCAGTTTGAGACTTTAAACGACAATTTAAGTTGCTGAAGTCGCATCTATAGTGGAACACTGATTTCCAATACTTAAACCCGTTTCCCAGCCTCCTGCTGCTGCTGAGACACTGTAGAATTAGAAAGGAGCTTAGCTGTGGGGCTCTGGGAAAAGGAGACTATTTCACTTTCACTACATTTTACTTCAGTACTTTCCTGCAGAAACAGAAGGGATGTACCAAAATGCACTGTCAAAACGACAACTATGAAAAACATATGGAAAGGTATTTCTGACTTCCAATGTCTAAAGGAGAGGTGATATGCAGGGAGATCACAGCACAACTGGTTTTTGGTTTTTTCTTTTTTTTTTTTTTTTTTGGCAAGGGAGGTCAGAGACAGGAGAGAAAGGGATTAATTTTACTTCTACCTGCTACTAAGATATGGATATGTTTCCTGAACTTGTGAGTTGCTATTAAAGGGAGCAGCAGAAGATGATTTTTAGACCTTGCCTCTGCAAGCTTTTTCAGTTAGGTGCAGGACTCCGCTACATTTTGCTTTCTGTGCCTGCTGAGAATTTGTTTTATCACTGGATTTACTGGTTCACAGAACGCATTACTCTGGTACCTGGGTGTTTCTCAATAGTTGAGAACATGCCGTTCCTATGCAATGTTATTTTGGCAATATACCACTGCCACAAAAGGATGGTTGTGAAAGTTTCATTGTTCCCGAAAGATGCGAAATCAGGGTCTAGTGAATAACTGGAAGGAGCAGGTGAAGTGTCCTAGAAAACAACACTCTGCAACACCAAACCGAAGAGTACACAACGGGTTCTCGAGTCCCTGCTGCAGCAGCACATACTGCAGTGACAGTGACAGGGAGTCTTATGGAATTATGTCCCAGCCACATAAGACGCTAAAGATTGTGACCAATGCAAGATAGGAGCAGAATTTGGTCATGAAGGTGCAGAAGAGTGAAGGGCATCGATGGCACCGAGTCATCACTGAATAAGCACACGCCAGCACCTTGTGCTGGTTAAGGGTCCCAGGTGCCGCTTCAGGAAGGGACTTGCAGAGAATGATTTAAAGCAGTCTGTTCAACAGGGAAACAAAAGATTGAATTTTTAGTTAAAAGTTGAAATGATCAATAAATATCTCCTTAGGAGATAATAACATCCCATTGCTAACCAATTCAAGAGAGAGTAAGTTACATATTCAACTTTCAAACTTTTAAAAGTGCTATTAAAAAAAAAGGGCAAATTGAATTACATACTTATTTCCAGCCTTTGCAACAGAAACCTCCTGAAATTTCCTACCAACCAGATAACTATTTTTCTGTAATTTGGTGTCTGTGAACTGAAAAAAAAAAAAAATTATTTTTCCAAATGAAAATCCACAAGTGACTGAAGAATTGTAACTGACTCTTTTTAAACTTCATAAACTATTTTTTCTGTTATTTTATATAGGCCTGGTAAGACTGCAGCACGCTTCCACTCAACTCAAATGTAAAACTCCAAGTAATATCTTTAAGAGAAGAACTTCACATGGATGTTGAGATTCTAGTCCTCTAAAACAACAATTTTGTCATTAAATTCAGCAGGCTCCTAATTTCATGCTGAATCTCCTTCTCTTAAAGAAAGCAAACAGAAGATAAAATGTAAATTATATATGTAAATCTCTTGTTCCTCTCCTTACTTCTCTTTGCTGGATCTTTCCCCTATTTAAGTACTTTCTCAATTATATTTGTTAGATTTACAAGCTGATGGAAAGCTTCTACCAGTTTAAGTCCTTTCAACTGACAACTTTTCTATGTATACCGCACAAAGTACTTAAAAAATGCTGTAAAAAGCAATCCCGCTGTAGCAGAATGTCAAATCAGATGCCCTAGCAGATTTTTGTACCAACTTGTTTGAGTCTGGGGAAAAAAAAGAAAAAAAAAAGGGCCTGAATTATGTCTCTAATAGCTCCATATCACACCCTGATTATAAGAACAGTGGTAGTATAGCTACTTGCTTTTCTAGCTATAACGTAGAATGCACTAAAAATCCCAGGGCACCCACTCATTCTCAGCTGTTTCATTGTACATTTTAATCTTTGAGTTTACAAGAGAAATAATGTAAACATGGCAAAATGGTATGTTTGTAGTGAAGTAAATAGATTAGAATGCAAAATACTAGGAAAAATGCAGGAAAGTTTCATTTTTTAGAAACATAAATAATTGATTTATTAACTGAGTACTAAATTTTTTTGAGTGAAGTCTTTGGCTGGATACAAGGTCTAAATCCTCTGGGTTTTTTATAATTTGCAAACGCACTTCTATTTTACCAAATAAATTTTATATGATTTATATGATACTTTCAGTATACGCAAGGAAGAAGTAATTCTTCCAAAGCATTCATGAATTCCCTAATTTTTCATCCCACTAAGATACTAGATATTTAGTCCGAAGCTAATGTAAACTCTCCTGTCATGATTTGCTATAAACAAAGGTTCATCTCTAGAACTGTATTATTTCTTATTAAAGTTTATGATTCCTGACACCTGTTTCGTGTGGACATTTTTGCTTACTAAGACTTTAGTAGTAGTTCAGCTCCTCGTTCACACAGATTTTCATGTTCTGCATGCAGGCATTCAAATCCATGTGCCAGACACTGAAAATTCAAATCCCAAGACAGAATATTTGCTTCTAAATCCTATCACCTCTTTGAGGAATAAGTATTGCTGCCTACTGTATATTACATTGAGCTTTTCTATTTATACATTCTCCACCCCCTCAATAAAATTAGAAGGGACGCTGCTCGAACATGCTGTCTGCCAGAAACATCTCAGCTGTACTCACTGCTATCATTATGTGCATATACTTTACATTATTTGATAGCATGTAAAAACATATTCAGGTTCTGTCCAGATATAAAATATTAAATGAGGCATCATTGCAAATAGGTCAGAGAGAACCTTCCATTTTTGTCATTTGACAAACCAAATAACACATACTGACAAGATCAAAAAGATATGCAAGAAATGTAACTTACTGGATGGCCTTAAACTCCACCACAGAAGCTGGATCATATATTCTCTATCTAAAACTGCACATCAGTCTGCAATCAATCCCATATAGATCTTTAGGAACTTTGTTAAAAAAAAATCCAAACCCGATACCTGCTTGGTCTATTTCTGGGCATAGTTTTTGATCTGATATTCTCTAAGAAATGAACTTTACCTTCACCATAAGACCAGTCTCTCAGGGACGCACAACAGCTCCTCACCTCCCCCCAGTTTTCTTTTAAAGGGGAAGTTGGGAAGAAGGCTGTCAACAAATTATTATCCTTTCTGGACTGTGTCAGTCAAACTTGCTAAATTAAATGCCTCTGGCTTCATGTCCTCTTGCCTGGAAGAGTGAGATCAAAGACAGATGGCTCATCCTTGTTAGATGAGTTGGTCCCTGTGGTCAAGTAAGCCCCTTAAGGCTGTGTCTGGGAGGAGATGTGCAGTGCAGAATTGCAGAAGATTCTGCAGCCCTACCTAGAACACTGATATTCAGTCTTTATTAAGAATACGTCCACAAGAGTACTGCCATATATGACACCAAACAAAAGGGAAAGCTGGTGAGATGATGTAGCCATACTGTCTTGAGATGGTGAACTGAAATTTTCCATATCTTGCAAGTGTTTTGCTACATACCTGAGTTTTACTTTGGCTTTTTGTTTCAGCTAAACAAAATGAGACAACAGCCAAATATTTATCAAATTTAGAATAAATCCATATGCCATCTTATGCATATGAGGTGTGTGTGCCTCCCCAATGCAAAAGATGCCACAAATGGTACTACTCTTCCTTTTGCACTCCTTTTTCTGCGTACGTGACAGGACAGCATTAATACCCAAACAGACACATCTATTACCTGAATAAAGGCTGCTTGAGATATTCATGGTTTGCAGGTAGTTATGACAGCGCTCTTTATGTTCTTCCAAAGAGCTGCGCTGCTTATAGCTGCGACCACAGTATCCACACTTATGGGGTTTGCCAACTGGAGAAAACACAATTAATCAAGAGATTCAGATGAGGTATTCAACAGCATATTAATAACAGTAAGAACAACAGGAAAAAAGACCACCCCAAAAATAAACCCGTACTGTGGTGAACTGAAGAAAGACTTTGTCAATTTAAAAAAAATAAAATGGAAAACTAGTTGTATATCTTTACATCAACGGGCCAATTCTGTGGGCGCCGCAAACTGATTTCAGATGATTCACATCAGATAACGACTGCGACATTACATCTTCAAAAACAGCATCTACACAAGTTAGAAACTGAGACACCTTCAAAGGTCTGAGTTGCTAGTGCCTAGCTCCCACAGACTGACAACAGGGGAACTGGTGGTGTAGGTAGAGGCATCTGTCCACAACTATCCAGCTGTTCGGATGTAAACAGAATCATCCTAACTCTTTTAGGACAATATTAGATTTCATAGGTTTTCTGCTTCTGGAAATTCAAGAGAAATGGCATGACAAAATTTTTTCTGTATTGCACCGATCCAGGTGTAGGTAGTTACATGAATTTCACAGTAACAATACAGTTTCATGGACTTCTGGACCCAAATTTTCTGTCTTAGCATGGCAAGACTGTCACCTTATATGTGATTTCACAATTTTAGATGGTTACACAGCTTAACTTTTCAATTTTATTTACAAATTCTCAAGCAAAAATCAAACTCAGACATCCAACTTGTTTTATAATGCATTGATGTCAATTTGCCAATTGCAGGAACTAATCACAATCTACAGTATATGCATTGCCTCTTTAGCTACAGAGTCCTCAGAGTTTGCCAAAAGTATCTAGGTGTATTTTCATGTATACATGAAAAATTATGTTTAAAATTGTGTAACCATGAAAATCAGTAACAGCAAGGGAGAGGGGAGGCAAAATAGTATTTTAAAGACGTGCTTTCCTGCATTGGGCCAGGACTGAAGATGAGAAGTGGAAATTACTTTGGACATCTGGGACCAACACTAGGGATTTTATTGTTTAATGTGTGTGCTAGAGAAGAATTTCCTTAGTTTTGTGCAATGCTAAAATGTGACTCTGAGGGCTCCCCTTCTGCTATCCAGAACCTGATCCCAAAGCCAGCTTCTGCAGGTAAAGTTACCAGTGTCAGTTCCAGCAATGTGTTTTGGAGATCTCCTATCCAAATAACAACTTGCATTTCCAGCTCAGCTTAGGAAATAGGATGAGACAACACTATGCTTTTAAAGGCACTTTAAAGGTGCATGACTGCCAGACTGGAGGTTTTGGAGACTTTGTGACTTAAAGCCTACTGTGTTTAGACCTCCTATTATCTCTATATGTGGATAAATGCCATCCAAACCCTAAAACATTCATCAGCTTTAATTCACGTTCGTAGTTCCATGAAATGGATTACTCACATGAGGCTTGTAAGATGAAACCCTAATACAGAAACTTTTAATCAGACCAGAAGTATGAGAAAAAAACAGAAAAAGACGTCTCCAGTTTGGTGGCCACGAACGTCCCCGTCTCCTCAATGGGTGTGGTGACAGGCACTCCTGGCCAGTTCTGCACCTTCACTCACCCGAGTGAGTCCTCAGGTGTCCTGTGAGGGCGTCCCTGCGACGGCAGGCGTAGTTACACAGGTGACACTTGAAGGGCTTTTCACCCGAGTGCAACTTTATGTGGCGCAGAAGGTTGCCCTTCTGTGTGAAGGAGGCTCCGCACTGATTGCACTGGAAAGGGCGTTCTCCTATGGGGAGAAGGAAAAAAATATGTGAGAACAAAAAATCTTACGCGGTAACAAGAGAAAGATTTCAGTGAGAAAGTTGTTTTCTCACTGCTGCTCTGTGACTTCCACCGGCTGCAGGTTTGATATAACATGAGGCTTTCAGACTAAACCTGCCAGTTTCTTAATGCTTCACTGGCTGGGTCAATTTGATCTGAAAATCTAATTTTTTTTTTCTAAATCAGAATGGCACATCACAATGCAAATTCAAACTCATTTAAATAAAGTGACTGCAACATTTTGTGTTGAAGAGCCACTCTTCCTGATCAGCAGTTTTGGAATAAACCAATATCCAATTTTGCATGTTGTGGCATTTGGTGGGGTTTTTAATGTGGCTTTTTTCAAAGGGTCTTTAAAATATGCCACTGAAGCAGCAAAATAAAAAGGAAACTCATTAAAAATGCATTTCAGGATCACAAGTTCATTTCAGCGTTACATTCTTATATTTAAATGAAAGGCACTTCATTATAACAGTTATAATAACTTCTTTTCATTTACATTTTCCCTGTATTTTCCCTTTCAATTTCTTCTCCATTACCTGTCTGTCCCTAAGCAGCCAAATCAGGAAAGAGACAGAGAAAGAGAGAGAAAGAAAGAGAGTAAAATCACATAAGTTAAGATAGTGCAAAGGAAGCCCTGTACTTCCATGCCGAGGTCCCAACCCTTCTCTAGGCAAGGTATGAACAGAGGAACGGCACAAATGGGCTCTGCTGGTCTGCACTTTGGATGGACACAGGGAAAAACTCAAAGAGACACAGCCTTGAATTTGTCTAAACTGGTGACTGGTTTTTTTTTTTCATTTAAGATAGATGAGGCCTTTTCTTAAGTCGGTGGGAAACAAAATATGTTGTACCAGGTCGGAGTAAAGGAAA